AGAGACTGAGGAAGGAAATGCTGGAGATCTGGATAGCATTCCCTCAATTATTCATGCATTTGAGGAGACTACATCAGGCTGGGGAAAGACTTATCCAGATGGATTAGACAGAAGATAGCTTGGTGCTTACACTGAACCAGAAAGAGCACTTATTTTCACCAGCTGGAAAACCTCATATTGCACACGGCCTGTGTAGTGGGTTGAATATGATGGAGGCTGTGCATCATGAATATGATCCTTCATGAATATGAAGGAAGTAGTAGGACATGGAGAAGGAAATGGCAACCCACTCCAGTGTTTTTGCCTGGAGAATCCCAGGGACTGGGGAGCCTGGTGGGCCGGCTGTCTATGGGGTTGCGCAGAGTCGGACACGACTGAAATGATTTAGCAGCAGCAGTAGGACATGATTAGCCCGAGACTGAGCACTCCTCTGCAGTTGCCTCATAAACCATAACAGCAAGGAAAATAATCCAAAAAGAAAACATTCAAAAGAATCAAACATTATTATGTTCAGAATTCTGTGTCTATGTTAATGTGAGATATCGATCTCATTATTTTCCTTGAGATGCTCTTGCTTCATTCTGGTGTAAGAGCGATGATGCCTGCCTGAAATGACTTGGGAAGTATAATTTCTGGCCATCTCTGAAAGTGTTAATATAGGATTGGGGCTATTTCTTGATTAATTTTAATATATAATTTATTTGCAAAGCTACATGAGAATAGAATTTCATTTTGGGAAGGGAAGGAATGTAAAAATTAATGTTTTGGGAAGAAAGTGAAGTCGCTCAGTCATGTCTGACTCTGTGAATCCACGGACTGTAGCCCACCAGGCTCCTCCGCCCAAGGGATTTTCCAGGCAAGAATACTGGAGTGGAATGTCATTTTCTTCTCCAGGAGATCTTCCCAACCCAGGGATTAAACCCAGGTCTCCCGCACTGTAGGCAGATGCTTTACCGTCTGAGCCACCAGGGAAGTCTCATTTTTCTGAAGTATTAGATTATTCCTGTTTTTCATTGTTTTTCTTACTGTTTTGAGAAAATGGTGTTTTTCATAGCAGTGGCCCATTTTCTTTTAGTTGGCAAGTATACTGTCATAAGTTCATTTATCATATTTTCTCTCATCTTCCTAAGATCAGTAAAATCTGCAGTGAGGACAGTCTTTTAATTTTCAGTTCAATTGATTGAATTTCAATTCAATTTCAAACAATTGATATTTTGTTTTTCCTATTATTTTTCTCAACTCATTTTGCTAGGAGCTTATCAATTTTATCAAACTTTCAAAGAAGCAATTCCTGCATTCACAGATTTTCCCTATTTTTCTATTAATATTTATTTCAATGATTTCTGTCTAATGTTTACTATTTCCATTTTCCATGCATATTCTGCTTTTCTTTTTCTATTTTGCTGACAATGAAACTTAGTTCAATTCTTAATATATCTTGTCTTCTAATACTTGCCTTTAAAGCTATAAATGTCTAACCACTTCTTTAGCTGCCTCCAGTCAATTCCTATATATATATAATATAATATAGCATATAGTTTATATATTCTTCATAAATATCTTCCATATATATTTTATACATGTATGCCATTATATTCTTTTGAAATTGTATTTTTCAAAATTATGCACTAGTAATTAGGTACATTTTTAATTCATAAGTAGCTGGAAAATGTTATATTTTAGTTATCAACTTTCAATTGAATTATATATATGTATGTTTTCTGTGGCTTCCCAGATGACACTGGTGGTAAAGAACCTGCCTGCCAATGCAAGAGACATAAGAGAAGTAGGTTTGGCCCCTGGGACAGGAAGATCCCCTGGAGAAAGACATGGCAACCCATTTCAGTATTCTTGCCTGGAGAATCCCATGTACAGAGCAGCCTTATGGGCTATGGTCCAAAGAGTGGCAAAGAGTCACACTCAGCTGAGTGACTAAGCACTCATGTGTTGTTTATATTGCTGAATTGAGTCTCCATGAGCAGCACTTTGAGATAAATAGAAGAGTCCCACAAATGTTTTTTTTTTTTTCTTTCCTCACGCTCACACAAATACAAATTCTATCAACAATTTTATCTAATTTTATCTACAATAGAAACAAGTTTTAAATGACTTGTTCTGAAGTTAGCACTCATCATTTCTGGAAATCAGATCAGATGTCATGTGCAAAGACAAAGAACGAACTTCAACAGATTTGTTGACTTTGAGGTTATGATTTAAAAGAAAGTTTCCACATATTTCATTTCTATTCAGATTGGACTTTTCCCTTTTGGTGGCTTGACCTCAATTTGTTCTTTTATGCTTTTTCCCCAAAAGAGTTCTCCAAGTCCAGATCCACTTGGTGATCTGGCTGCATCTCTGGAGGTAGAGTGTATTGTCAAAATTCTGATTAAGGTCCCAATGAGTATAATTAGAAAAGAATCACTCTTTGAGATGCACCAATTGAATGCCTCAATTATATGTGGTGTGATTTAAAGGTAGATACAGTGTCTACAGACATTTGCCTTACCTCTGAGAGTATTAGCCTATACCAGTGCTCACATAACTGACTTCTTCATGCATTGAAATGATGGACTCAAAAACATAATAAATACATACATATAAATAAAATATGTATATGAAATTATTCTCCATCTTTCAGAAAACCCAAAATTCAACAATATTGAATGAAGACAGAATAGTATAACTAATCAAGAATGAAAATGTGTTAAATGCTATTTCTCTGTTTCACTTTTATTGTTATAAAACAAAAAGAGCAATTTTTGTTTGAAAATTCACACAGAATTTACAATTTTCTCTCTAGTGAAAATGTTGCTTTAACATTTGCTTTTTAAAAGGAGAAATTCTGTCAGCAATGAATATTTTAAATCTCTTCTCACAATCAAGAATCAAATTTCTTTGGGCAACAGGACATTTAGATTCATTCTGAAAATTCCAGCAATTTGAAGAGTAATATTTTTCTGAAAGACTGAAAATAATCTGATTTTCTACAAACATGAAAAGTGTCTAGTTCAAGGTCCAGTGATGCTGCATGTATCTTACTCTCTGTGTTCCCAGGGAAGGCATCAGTGCCTCAAGGACAAAGAAGAAGCCACCAGACCCCAGAACATTGACTGAAAGTCTTTCTCCTTATGCAGGTAACTCAGGAAGTGTATTGAGAAACAAGATTCTGAACTAGGTTTTCCATTTTGCAACAGTACACTGGAGGGGTGAGAATTCAGTCCTTTAAAAGTTCTCCAATCTGATTCTCACGGTCAGCCAAATCAAGAGTCCTTTGCTATTACTAAAATATGTTGGGATCAGTGTTATTATGTAATACTCTTTTAGAATACTTTCAAATTATAAAGATCCAGAATAGATTTACCTCGTCTAACATCAAGTGTACCTAGAAAGTAACTTCAAATTTATCTATCTGGGGGTATTTTAAAGGACATATACTTCTAAATCTCATGATAAGTTCAATTGATAATGTTCTCTAAGCATTGCTTGTTAACATGTTAAAAATTAGAAGATGATATAGCATCTGTAGAACATGATCAAGTGGCTTTAAAGAACCCAAAGTAATACTGTTGTAAGCAAACTATCACTTCAATTCCTATTTTTCTCTTCACAGGTGAACTTCAGCTTCCAACCATAACTGTGTTTGCCATTTAGATGTGTTCTTTTTTAATTGCTTGTTTTTAATTCATTTATTTTATATTTAATTTATATTTTATTAGTGAATTCTTTAGAGATCTTTGTCTATTTTAGATATTATTTCCAATTATATCTTATAAAATGTAAATGATTTCCAGTAAGTACTATGTCTATCGATGTTGTGATATCTTTTCCTAAATCCTTTAAAATAATGGAAAATTTCTAAGACACCTATTTGGAATTTCAGTGATTCACTAAGAAGATTCTTCCACCATTAGAATGGAGAAAATAATCTTCTTTACTAGCTGTAATGTAATTATGAAGTAAATCTTGATTTACTTTTTTAATTGAGTCTTTAATCAATTTTTATTTTTGTGTAAGGTATTATTTATATGTACAATTTAATTAGCTTCCAAATTGAAAGCTAATTCTAGTTGTGGAAACTCTATTGTAATGTATCCTTTTTTCCACATAATTAAAAATTATAAAGATCCAGAATAAAAAATAAATAAAATAAATAAAAATAAAATTATAAAGATCCAGAATAGACTAACCTTCTCTAACATCAAGTGTTTCTGGAAGCCAACTTCAAATATCTATATTTGGGGATATTTTAAAGTGCAGGTATTTCTAAATCTCTAAATTGATATGTTCAATTGGTAATGTTCTCTAAGCATTGTTTGTTAATATGTTAAACATGAGAAGATGATATAGTATCTGTAGAACTTCACTGACTTATCTAATCACTTGTCTCCTCCTTGTAATATTGTTGAAGTTAGGGAGGATATTTTAATCAGGCTGGTATTATAATCTCTGAAAGTATTAGAGCATAATAACCATACTGCCTATTGGTTCAATAAGTAAATGCATTATCTTAATTTTTCAGGCAGCCATGTGTAAGAATTGTATTTACAGCTAATTCTGTCCTGAGCTCTGAAATATGACATATAGAAAAATCTATGGAACAAAGGAGAAATGTAACTGAGTTTGTCCTCTTGGGACTCACTCAGAGTGTCCAAGGTCAGAAAATATTATTTGTTGTGTTCTTGCTCATCTACATTGTGACCATGGTGGGTAACCTACTCATTGTCCTGACTGTGGTGTCCAGTGCAACCCTGGATGCCCCTATGTACTTCTTTCTAGGCTACTTATCATTTATGGATGCTGTTTATTCTACTACAGTCACCCCAAATATGATCATAGACTTACTCTATGAAAAGAAAACTATTTCCTTCCAAGCTTGCATGACCCAGCTTTTTATAGGACACTTATTTGGTGGTGCTGAGATTTTACTCCTGGTGGTCATGGCCTATGACCGCTATGTGGCCATCTGCAAACCTTTGCATTATTTGACAATCATGAATCAGCGAGTGTGTGTTATGCTTCTTCTCCTGGCCTGGGTTGGTGGGTTTTTACATGCTGTAGTTCAACTTCTCTTTGTTTATAGCCTTCCTTTCTGTGGGCCCAATGTCATTGACCACTTCATCTGTGACATGTATCCCTTGTTGAAACTTGCCTGTACTGACACCTACATTATTGGCCTCACAGTGGTTGCCAATGATGGGGCGATCTGTGTGGTCATCTTCATGCTTTTGCTCATCTCCTATGGGGTCATCCTGCACTCCCTGAAGAATCTTAGTCAGGAAGGGAGGCGCAAAGCCTTGTCCACCTGTGGTTCCCACATTACCGTGGTGGTCCTCTTTTTTGTGCCCTGTATTTTTATGTATGTGAGACCCCCTTCCACCTTACCAATTGATAAATCCTTGACTGTGTTTTACACAATTATCACTCCTATGTTGAACCCTCTAATCTATACTCTGAGAAATGCTGAGATGAAAAATGCCATGAAAAAGCTCTGGACTAGTAAAAGAAAATGAGGCAACAGGAAAGTGTATCATCTATTTTCAATGAAAAATTGCTCTTTCCATGAAAGCCTTGTATGATTTTTTAAGCTGTAGTAAATTTTGTCTTAGGTTTAATAGCTTGGGCATAATTGAAATTTTTTACTGTATGAATACCTCCAATGATCAAAATATACTTTTAAGATTTTCCTAGTTTAATATTTTAAACTGTACTTTGTATTTAAATATATTTTGTTTTAAATACATTTTTAAGATTGTCACCATTTACCATGAAAATATGTATAGATTTGGGGTGTAAAATATCTCTGTTGATACTATACATTGATGTTCTGTGTTAAGCTTTAGTTAATACTGTAATTTATTTAAGTTAGTGGAATATTTTTTTATGTTTCAGTCTTAAGTAATGTAATCTTTCTGGAATTAATAAAGTCTCTTACAGAGCTTGCAATAAAAAAAAAAGACATAACACCTTGATTTATATCTCTTCACTCAAACACAGCCCACATAAATATTTGAAGTAGATATTTTACATTTGTATTTGTCAGATAGTTTTCATATCTTATTTTTTACATAGCCTAGTATCTTAACATTGAAGAAGAGTAATGTTTCAGACAATATAATACTAAGCATAAGGAGGTTAAGTATATAAAAACAATCTGAATGAAAATGTATATATGCAGAAAATAATCAAATCATAGTTATTTTGCCAATTGGGCAAGTGTGTTATTGCCTTAAGTTGAGAAGCTTTGTGTTGCAGTCAAAGTGATCAAAGACAGAAATTTAATCTTCTAATTTGTAGAGATATTTTAAATGATAAGTTAAAAATATTTGCTAATTACCTTTGTTCATTAGTCTGTTCAGTTCAGTGCAGTAACTCAGTCATGTACGACTCTTTGCAACCCCATGAACTGAAGCACACCAGGCTTCCCTGTCCATCAGCAACTCCTGGAGCCTACCCAAACTCATGTCCACTGAGCTGGTGATGCCATCTAACTATCTCATCCTCTGCCGTCCCCATCTCTTCCTGCCCTCAACCTTTCCCAGCATCAGGGTCTTTTCAAATGAGTCAGTTCTTCGCATCAGGTGGCCAAAGTTATTGGAGATTCCACCCAGGACTGATCTCCTTTAGGATGGACTGGTTGGGTCTCCTTGCAGTCCAAAGGACTCTCAAGGGTCTTCTCCAACACCACAGTTCAGAAGCATCAATTCTTGGGTGCTTAGCCCTCTTTATAGTCCAACTCTCACATCCATACATGACTACTGGAAAAACCATAGCCTTGACTAGATGGACCTTTGTTGACAAAGTAATGTCTCTGCTTTTTAATATACTGTCTAAGTTGGTCATAATTTTCCTTCTAAGGAGTAAGTGTCTTTTAATTTCATGGCTGCAATCACCATCTGCACTGATTTTGGAGCCCCCCAAAATAAAGTCTGCCACTGTTTCTACTGTTTCCCCATCTATTTGCCACGACGTGATGGGACCAGATGCCATGATCTTAGTTTTCTGAATGTTGAGCTTTAAGCCAACTTTTTCACTCTCCTCTTTCACTTTCATCAAGAGCTCTTTAGTTCCTCTTCACTTTCTGCCATAAGGGTGGTGTCATCTGCATATCTGAGGTTACTGATATGTCTCCTGGCAAACTTGCTTCCAACTTGTGTTTCATCCAGCCCAGCATTCCTCATGATGCATTCTGCATATAAGTTAAATGAGCAGGATGACAATATGCACTGTATAATGATGACTGTAGTTTTATAGTTTAATCTGAAGTCAGATTGGTTCCTCCAGCTCCATTCTTCTTTCTCAAAACTGCTTTGACTGTTCAGGGTCTTTTCTGTTTCCATGTGAACTGTGAAACTTTTTGTTGTAGTTCTGTGAAAAATGCCTTTGGGAGTTTGATAGGGATCACATTGAATCTGTAGATTGCATTTGGTAGTACAGTCATTTTCACAATACTGATTCTTCCTACCCAGGAACATGGACTATCTGTTCATCTGTTTATGTCTTCTTTGATTTCTTTCTTTAGCATCTTATAATTTTCTGTGTACAGTTCTTTTGTCTCCTTACACAAGTTTACTCTTAGATATTTAATTCTATTTGTTGCAATGGTGAATGGTGATTCCTTAATTTTACTTACTGATTTTTTATTGTCAGTATATAGAAATGCAAGTGATTTCTGTGTATTGATTTTCTATCCTGTGACTTTGCTAAATTCACTGATTAGCTCTAGTAATTTTCTGATACTATCTTTAGGGTTTTCTATGTACAGTATTGAGAGGTTAACAGGCAGAAAGGCCAGGAGTCTCAAAACAGAGGAAATAGGCTGCAAGTCAGACTTTCTCTCTCTCTCTCTCTCTTAAATTGCAGAAGGAAACAAACAAGTCTTAGATTTTTTCCTGGTCTCTATACAAATTTAAAAAGAAGTTTCTCTTAATATTCTGCGTTTTCATGACCATACCTGGCTCCACCTAAACTTAACTTCTCTCAAACCTTGGGCTAACCAATGTTTTTTACTTATGGAAAAGTTTGTCAACCTATGTTAATGAACTATATATTTACCTTAGACTCTGTCTTCAAGTCAGCTCAGCCTAAGACTCAGAACCAACTTGACAAAGGAGCATGTTATACTCATGCAAATGTTCTCTTAAGTATGTTAATGAGACTGTACTTGCTTGGAAACTTGCTTTTCTTCAAGATTCATGTCAGTCATTTTATGACCCAGGACAACTCACCTCCTGCCAATATTATCTCAAAATGCATGTTGCCAATGAGGTGCCTGGTGCCAGTCTCTGAGTTTTGAGACCTTTCCTTTCTCTAATTAACAGACTGCCAGTAGCTATACAACATCTGGCTAAAGACTAGCAGGGGGACACTCTTTTTGCCCACTTCTGATGTCTATGTCAGAAGCTTTCTCTGTCTCTTTTATACTTTAATAAAACTTTATTACATAAAAGCTTTGAGTGATCAAGCCTCATCACTGGCCCAGGATTGAATTCGTCTCCTCTGGAGGCCAAGAATCCTGGCATCTTTAATGGCTCAGCAACAGCCTTTCAGTATCATGTCATCTACAAACAGTCAGGACTTTACTTTTTTTTTTTTTCCCAATCTAGATGCCTTTTATTTCCTTCCCCCCACTATGCCCAATTGCTGTAGCTAGGACTTCCAGAACTATGTTGAATAATAGTGGTGAAAGTGGACACCTTTGTCTTGTTCCTGATCTCAGGAGGAAAGCTTTCACTTTTTCACCATGGAGAATAATGTTTGCTCTAGGCTTGTCATATATGGCCTTTACTGTGTTGAGGTAGTTTCCTTCTATGCCCAATATTTTGGAAGAGTTTTAACCATAAATGGGTGCTGAATTTTGTCAAAGGGTTTTTCTGCATCTATTGAGATAATTATATGATTTTTATCTTTCAATTTGTTAATATGGTGTATCACATTGATTGACTTGTGCATATTGAAGAATCCTTGCATTCCAGGAATAAACCTAACTTGACCATGGAGTATGAGATTTTTGATGTGTTACTGAATTACGTTTGCTAAAATTTTGTTGAGGATTTTTGCATCTATGTTCATCAGTGATATTGGCCTATAGGTTTCTTTTTGTGTTGTCTTTGTCTTTGTGTGTCCGTTTTGGTATAAGGGTGATGGTGGACTCAGAATGATTTTGGAAGGGTTCCTTCCTCTGCAATTTTTTTAGAGTTTTAGAAGGATAGGCATTATCTCTTCTCCAAATGTTTGATAGAATTCTCCTGTGAAGCTATCTGGTCCTGGGCTTTTGTTTTTTGGAGAGATTTTTTTTAATCTCAGCTTCAATTTCAGTGCTTGTAATTGGGTTGTTCATAATTCTATTTCTTCCTGTTTCAGTCTTGGAAGATTTAACTTTTCTAAAAATCTGTCCCTTTCTTCCAGGTTATCCATTTTATTGCCATGTACCTGTTCATAAGAGTCTCTTATAATCCTTTATATTTCTGCATTTTCTGTTGTAGCCTCTCCTTTTTCATTTCAAATTTTGTTGATTTGATTCTTCTTTTTTTCTTGATGAGTCTGACTGAAGGTTTGTCAATTTTGTTTATCTTCTCAAAGAACCAGCTTTTAGTTTTATTAATCTTTACTATTGTTTCTTTCATTTCTTTTTCATTTATTTCTGCTCAAACCTTTATGATTTATTTCCTTCTACTAATTTTTTTTTGTTGTTCTTCTTCTTTTTTCAGTTGTTTTGGGTGTAAGGTTAAGTTGTCTATCTCATGTGTTTCTTGTTTCTTGAGGTAGAATTGTATTCCTATAAATCTCCCTCTTAGAACTGCTTTGTCTGCATTCCATAGGTTTTGAGTTGTCATGTTTACATTGTCATTTGTTTCTAGATTTTTTTTTTCCTTTTGATTTCCTCTGTAACCTATTGGTTATTTAGAAACATACTGTTTAATATCCAAGTGCTTTTTATTTTTTTAGTTTTTTTCTTGTAATTGATATCTAGTCTTATAGTGTTCTGGTCAGAGAAGATGCTTGATATGATTTCGATTTTCTTAAATTTACTGAGGTTTGATCTGTGACCCAAGATGTGGTCTATCCTGGAGAAAGTTTCATGTGCACTTGAGAAGAAGATGTATTCTTCTGCATTTAGATGGAATGTCCTGAAGATATCAATGAGATCTATCTCATCTAATGTATCATTTAAGACTTGTGTTTCATTATTAATTTTCTGTTTTGATGATCTGTCCATTGGTGTGAATGAGGTGTTAAAGTTGTCTACTATTATTGTGTTGCTGTCAATTTCTCCTTTTATGTCTGCTAGTGTTTGTCTTATGTATTGATGTTGGGTGCATAGATATTTACAACTGTTAATTGGATTGATCCCTTGGATTGATCCCTTGGATTGATCCCTTGATCATTATGCAGTGTTCTTCCTTATCTCTCGTAATCTCATTTTAAAGTCTATTTGCCTGATATGAAAGTTGCTGCTCCAGCTTTCTTTTGCTTTTCATTTGCATGGGATATATTTTTCCATCCTCTCACT